AAACCATTAGGCCCCATCTATACATTGCTGTACAGACTAAAAGGTAATCATCCCTCATTTTTTTTCCTATGCTGCCTGCATTCCAGGGGTGTATGTGTGTGTGTGTGTACTTTAAAAAACTTATGTTAAAAGCAATGTTTCTTTCAACTCCGTAATAATCTTTGTTCTGGTTTGAATTGTACTTAATTATTTCTGTCTACATCAAGCTTTGGAGATCAGAACTAAATGTAACTTATTTAGGCAATATTTACAGGGCATAGAATTTATAGTAAACTGTATTTTGCTGGGTTGTATACGGAATGTTAGGAGCTCTGGTGGTTCAGTGGTTAACAGCTACAGTTGCTAACCAGAAGGTCGGTAGTTTGAATCCACCAGCTCCTCCTTGGAAACGCTATGGAGCAGTTCTACTCTGTCCTATAATGTCACTATGAGTTGGCATCGAATCCATGGCAATGGATTTTTGGTTTTTATATGGAATGTTAAGTTTTATTGTGGTTCCAATACTATAATCTAGTAAGGAAGCAAAATCTACAGATAAGAAGCTTAGAAGCAAAATAATTCAAAGGAAAAAACACAAGAGGAACCACAATCGTGCTAAATGAGTGGTAGAGTTAAAATGTACCATTCATTCGAGGAGAGGGTGCAATTTCCATGGCCCAAAGTGTGTTTGAAGTGGGGATGCTTGATTTAGACTTTGACAATCCTGACCTTGACTTGATCGTTGAATTTGTGAAATGAGCAAACTCGATTAGAGGGATCTGCTTCTCTCCATAATTAAACAAGTCTTAGTTGGGCAATATTAGTTCTGATGAAACTTTATTACTCATCAAAAGATTATAAACCCATCTATATTTGAATTCCCTTGAAAGGTTATTATTTTTAAGAATAATTCCACACTGTTATTGTATAATAAATTATCAAGAAAATAATGGTTGAGCATTAGCCTCAAGAGGTAATATTCATTCATCTAGTGTAAACCATTATTAAGATGTCCAAAAGAGGAAATAGGTTGTATTAGGACAGCCACTTGCATATGGCAAGCTTTTACGTGTAAGCATGTAGACTCATTCTTGAAGAATAGTCTCGATCAAACTAAAAGATAATCATCAGAATATGACGGAGCTAATTTTGACCCATTATATATTAACATGCATATGTAGTATGTTGGGGAGTATCTGGATTTCATTGTCTTGTCAGGGTTTCAATCAGATATTTGGTCACTGGTTATTTCTAGGCAAAATAATGGGTCATTTGAAGACTCGATAATCTGAGTTTTGTTTGGCAGATTCTATGTTCGTATGTTGTTGTTACGGATCATTTAGCCTATTCTTCAATTACCAAGGGCTCTATGAAGTTTTTTGTAAATTTAGAGATAGTTACTTTGATCCAGCCATAGAATAAAAATGAGCGCACCTAACTAAATAGTCTTTCATCTTTCCTTCAAAGCTTAAGATAAAAATAATCATTCCAAAGCAATGCTTTTCTTTTTTTTTAGGTTTTGACTTCCCTGATCACCTAAAAGTTACTAACGATGTTAGTTTGACTTGGAAAGTCAATACCTGTAGAATTTCTCTTTTGTACTTCACTGCTAGCGAAAAGTTTGGCATTTCAAACCCACCCAGTGGTAATGGTTGTTGTTGGTTGCTGTTGAGTCCATTCTGACTCATGGAAAAGGTCTGGAGATCTGCTTCTGTTAAGATTACAGCCAAAAACCCAATGCAGCAGTTCTGCTTAGTAACACATGGGGTTCCCATGAGTCGGAATGGACTTAATGGCAATTTAACAACACCCACCCCCTGCCATCCAGTCGATTCTGACTCATAGTGACCCCACAGAGTTTCCAAAGCTGTAAATCCCTACGGAAACAGACTGCCACATCGTTATTGGTGGGTAGCCGTTGGTGAATTCCAACTGCCTACCTTTTGGTTAGCAGTCGAGCACTTTAACCACTGTGCCACCACAGCTCCAATTAACAAGAGAGATTAAATTGAATGAAATGCATGTTTTTCAGTGAAACTTAGATAGCTTTCATTATAGTCTTTTTATTCTCACAGTATTTACACTAATCTTTTTGCTTGTAGCTTCACAAACTGGATCATTAAAAAGAAAAAAAGATCTTTCTTAAATGTCGTTGTTATTGTTAGGTCCCGTTGAGTCAGTTCCGACTCATAGCGACCCTGTGTGCAAAGGAACGAAACACTGCTCGGTCCTACACCATCCTCACAGCCACTGTTATCCTTGAGCCCGTTATTGCAGCCACTGTGTCAATCCTTCTTAATCACCAAATACTTATTAAACCCCCACATACATGCATTACACCAAGCGGCAAATAGTCAGACTGTAAATCAAGTCATCAGAAGAGTTATGTTGACTCCTCCTCCTTCTTTAAGCTTCAGAATTGTAATTCTTGGCCCACGTGATGCGTTTTAGAACTGGTCCCATTGGTTTCAGCAAAACTTCTAGAGATGCTTCAGTCAAAACTCTCTCGCATTAAGTAAATCCATGCGCTGAAATCACTAAAAGGTATATATATATGTATATAGGCTCCACTAGAGCATTCATTTGTTTTTCTTTTGCACTGAAAGAAAAAAAAAAGGTCTGTTTCAAATCCTATTTGCCTCTTATCTCTGTTTGTTCAGTTGTTTTTAATATCACATACTGAAAGAATTTCAATAGCAGTTTCACCATGAAGTCATTTGTTATCCTTCAGCGGGCTTTTGCCTACTGAATTGTAAAGCAGTTCTGACTATTTGCATCCTCCAGATGGAGCGGCATATAAACACTCCCAGATATTTCTGGTATGAAAAAATATCTTATTTGTCCTTCTGTGAATAAATAAGAGAATGTCAAATTTTATAGACTAATAAATTTGTATGCCGCCACTGACATTGAATCTCTCATGGCCTGCGATGTCACAGACCCTGAGAAACACAATTTTGGGGGGGTTTCAAATGCATACTAAGTCAAATAGAAGCTCAGTAAAAAGCCAGAATTTGATTGCATTCTTTATGTCTGCCCAATATTCTAATTCGTTTGCAATTTACCATGGGGGAAATGCAATTTACATGTTCCCCAGGCTTATTGCCCAGCAATCAGTCACATATACAAATTTCTATATGTCTGAGAAAACGCTGCTAATGGGTTAAAAATGCATTTAGTTTGCAATAGCTACTTCTCCACCCCTCCAAAAGATTTAATGTCAATTTTTATAATGCACTGTTTTGGAGTCATGGAAACAGGTGATAGGAAAAGGCAATCTAAATTTTTACATACAAAACTTTTGATGTATGTGTATATGTTGACTTATATACACACGTGATAGACTCAGAAATAGTATGCTACATGGGATAAATAGAATTGCAACAGTTCAAGCAAAACTTTATGCACTTTGCCAACTTAGGTCTAAATTTTTTTCTTATGTCTAAATTGATTTGCATAATGTAGTTAGTGTTTAATCTTCATATTCACTTAAATAATGAACTCCTGCAATATCAGCTGTGATTGACAGTTTAATACTGCTTTTGCATTTGCCAGTTTTCATATTACACTTTTTAGTTTCTTCCTAAATTAAATGTACTGTGCTCAAAACAGAGTAAAATAATATATTTTACAAAGTAAGTAAGATTGAATAATTTTGGAGTTAAATATGTATATGAAGCACTGAGAACTGAACTTTTCTTACTTTGTCCATGTGACAAATAGCTTTCTTGTGAAGTGAGTGTGGGCTGATTGTTTTCCACTTTGGATTTTTGAAGAAAGAATTTTAGTAAGTAACACATAATATTTCTTTTCTTTTGTTGGTGCAATTAAAACAGAACTTAGCATCATATTTGTCAACATTGATTTGATTTCTGGAGAATAAATTTCCCTAAATTAGTTTTAGCTTAATAATGCTTCAGTGTGGATGCTTATAAGGGTTTTGCAACACAAGTTCTATTTAAGTTATTGCAAAGGCATGTCTTTATGCATTTTCTTCCATTGTGACGTGAAAAAAATGGAGTAGAACTTTGGTTCACTTTTCTTGTTATTGTGTATTAGCCAAACATGTCTGTCCAAATACCTTTGGCTTCTTGGTGAGTAGTCTTTCTAAAATTAAAAGTATCTGAGTATGTTTTATCTTTTATGAATATATGTAGAGGTAACAGGTTTGCCTGTTTGTGTATATAAGTGTGGCGGGTGGGCTGTGAAATGTACTATGGCAGAAAGGACAGATATTTTTCTTCACATATTAGATTTTTAAATTTGGAAGTAAGACTGCTCATAAATATTAAGTTTATGTAATCACTTTGATACAAAATTCTTTGATTCAAGTTAAATGTGTGTGTGAAAATATACCAAAAACCAAACGCATTGCTGTCAAGTCAATTCCGACTCATAGTGACCCTGTAGGACAAAGTAGAACTGCCACATAGGGTTTCCAAGGAGCAGCTGGTGGATTCAACTGCCGACCCCTTGGTTAGCAGCTAAGCTCTTAACCATTGCTCCACCTGGGCTGCACGTGAATGTATATGTATGTATTTATATAACCTCCCTACCTTCCGCACACACACACAACACAAGCATGATGCCACAGGTGTGGCCCAGCAGCTGCTTATCGAAGGAGACAGGTAGACTAACAATCTATGCAGACTAACATAATACGTGAATTTAAACGAATATTCTGGAAGGGAAAAAAACAGGAGGAACTAGATCTCTAGCCCAACCTTCTCGTTTCATAGATTGATCAGCAAATGGACTCCCAGAAAAGTTAAAATGGTAACACATGAACCAGATCTTGCATGTATATGGATTCTAAGTCCTGTAATCTTTTCTCCATACCACACTGCCTCTTTGAGTCTGGCATTTATTGTAGCAGTGAATTGTTTTGGAACATTTCTGTGGCCTACCGTTCAACTTTCTGCCAAAGCAGAAGAGTAGTTGCTATATACTAGTTGAACTAAAAAAAAAACCAAACCCATTGCCTTCAAGTCGATTCTGACTCCTAGCGACCCTATAGAACAGAGTAGAACTGCCCTGTAGGGTTTCCAAGGAGCAGCTGGTGGATTCGAACCACTGACTTTTTGGTTAGCAGCCTATCTCTTAACTGCTGCACCACCAGGGCTCCGAGTGCCACTAAATTCTGGACACCATTGGGTCACTATATTTCAAAAAATAGTTCAAAAACTTCGTTTGAAGCTCCTTTCAATGATTAAGTCTCCCAAAAATATATCTTTTGTTTATTGACATGAGCCTCCCAGACTTCCTCTCTTTTTGTTCAACTGTAGTAAATTTGGCATTAAAAGATGATATTCAATCCTTGCTTCCTTTATAGAGTTGCACCGAAGTCAATGAGAATTTTATGCAAAAGTAAAGGATAAACTACGGCCCTGAAGTAGTCATTTAGGATAGTAGAACAGACCCACAAGACTAAATTCAGTGCCTAGTAAGGGGATCATGCTAAATTTAACATTGCAGAAGAGTTTCCAGCTGTTGGCTTGATATGAAGGAGGAGAGCTGCTTTTATGACTGATTACTGTCCTCAGGAGGAAGAGGGAAGTGGAGCGATGCTACATTTCTTCGATCCCTAAGGTGCAGTGCATATTCTGTGGCACTGATTTGAGAAGGCTCATAACTTTAATGATTCCCTGTGTCAATTGTCATGACTCTAGGCTTTGAAAATCCTAACACCTAGGAAGGGAGGAACAGGAATGTGTGTAACTAAAAATGCAGAAAAAAATATAATAAAGTCCAAGTAGCTTTTTGATTTTTTAAATTTTACACTAATGATAAGTCACTTGTGGTTCGTCACTCTAGCTTAAGTAACACGACTAGACTTTATTCGCCAGCTGTACTTAAAGATCGTGGTTTTATGTTTTTAAAAATGTCATCTATTCCTTCAATCTCTTGTAAGTCCCCTGTAATCTCTTTTTAATGTAAGCACACTGGAGTTTTCCCTTTTGTTTGCTGCCCTTGCATTATTTACTTTGATCTGCTGTGAGAAAATCTGAAAGTGTGTTGTCCTAAATGCTAGCATCTCACCAACATGATTTGAGGCCTTGTACTTCGCATTGAAGAAAAAGGCTCTTGTGTGAAGACGCAGGTTTTGTTTAGTTCTCTCTCCCTGGTGGGAGCCTTAATTGCATTTTCTCTGTCTCACAGTGGCTGGCTAAGGAGTGCCTGCCTTCCCTGCTGATGCTGAAGTTTTCAAGCTCTATTACTCTGTGACGGAGAAAATTCCTTGGTCCAGGAAGAAAAGGGTCAGGTTAAAAAAAAAAATTGTTTAAATAAGTGTTGTCAGTTTAGCAATGCACAATAAACCAAAAGAAGAAGAAACAATAGAAAAGCTTAATGTTTTTTTTCCTCCTGAGATTCTTGCAGAAGTTTTATGTGACCCAGTTTGTAAAAGATGAGATTATAAATATCACGAAGAGGCTCGTCCTCAAGGGAAAGAGGTTGGACTTAATAATAGCCAGTAAACAAAACAATTTCGTGTCCTTTTGTAGTCATTTTGACATGACTAAAATATATATATTCAGAAGGCTATTTTTGGAGTTAATGTTACATGTTGACATAGATGCCAGTTTTGGAGTAGTCGTAAAGATATACTTTTATTAACCTTTTTACTTTTCATTACAACTTTTATGAACATAGCAGCAATATGCTTGAATCATTAGATCTAGAAATGAATACTTTACTTTTCTTCTCATCTGACAAAACATGCTTCACCTTAACTGGCTTTGAAGCTGTAGCTGCCATTTCAACTTCCACTTACCATATTTGTCATCCTGAAAGGAAGTAATGCAATAATGGCATCTACTTAATATTTTCTATTTCAAAGTATCGTAAGTATGGAAACTACATTGATCTATATTCACAAATGTTTGTTTATTGTTTGAGGCTTAAATGTTTTTACGCAGCTATATAAAAACTTTTTTTTAGCCTCTGTCTTCTTATTCCACCGAAAACGGATGACTCAGGCATGGGTTTTATTTTGCAAGGCCTTATTTTATTACTGTTGTTCACTCTGAATCTTGATATGTTAGGCTTCTCCCTCCTTCTGAACTTTGCCATTTTTAAGCTGTGCTCCTCCCCTCCCTCCCCTCCCCATATTCATTCTTGTCCTGTTCCAAGCCCTTATCCATTAATACCTGCCCCTCATGGTATGCCCTGATCTCTGGTACTTGTCTGTTAGTGAGTTGAGAGAGGAGATCATGCTTGTCCATGGATACCAATGGTGTTTTGTGATTGGTAGTTGGATAGACAGTCGAACAAATTACCACCACCACTCACTGTTGTGTTGATTCTGCCTCATGGTGACCCCATGTGTGTCAGAGTAGGACTGTGTTCTATAGGGTTTTCAATGGCTGATTTTTTGAAAGTACACTACCAGGCCTTACTTCCAAGGTGCCTCTGGGCAGACTCAAACTGCCAGCCTTTCGGTTAGCAGCTGCGTGTGTTAACCTTTTGCATCACCCAGAGTCTCCAGTGGAAAAATAGGTGATTGGAAATAGCATGGGGTTGGTTTGCTGGAAAGAGCAGAGTCCAAAAAAAGATCTTAGGAGGATGAGTATATGGAGAGAAGAAAGATGCTAGGCCAAAACAGTAAAGATACCTTTCTAAGGGTTGGGATTACAGATTTTAGCCCTGACCATACCATCCCATTGGCAATCACTGGGCCTTTCAGGCTTTGTGCAATGAGCTGAGCCCAGTCAACAGAGTCTTTTCAGTTATATTGAAAAGCGGTGACCCAACACGTGAAGTTAAAACATCTCCTTGATACAAGAGCGCGCACAGCTTTAAAAACACATTAACATCATAAGACAGATATGATTGTCATTAAAAACAGCACTGGGAAGCCTATGTCTTGCTTTATTATCTTCTAACTGGTTAGCGATGTAGACAGAGCCTTCTAAAAACCAGTTGGAATGTATCACATACATTTGGACACAGCATAATTTCTTGGCTACTTGTAGGATGTTGATTTCTAAATGTTCACAAGCAATCACATTTGGATGCTAACAGGATTTTTTTCACTGAATTATTAGACCTCTTTCCATCATTTTATTCTTGAAAATGAGCAAAAAAATAAAATTGAAGCAAATGGCAAAGATATAACAGGATTTCTTTATAATTATGAGGACTGTATATTTTTAAATCTGTGAATTCAAGGGCTAATTGAGCCCTTATTAATTTTGTGATTCAGGATACCCTTGTATTTTAGAACTGTCAGAGCTTGAAAATAAAAAAGAAATTGCAATTTTAGAAAGTTCAGAGGACTCTGTGGGTGTATTTTATTTCCCTTGGATCCCATTATATGTTATAAATAATCCTTAGTTTCTCCTTTTTTATTTATCATTACTCCATACTTATCTTAACAGGAGGAAAACTTGTCAATTAGGATCTATACATTGCTGAAGTTTTAGAAAAGACCTGGATAATTCATCAAGTGGCTACTCTATTTATTAGAGTATTTTATTATAAAAATTCTTTACAATGAAGGCTAAGGAACCTGATTATCTTTTTTAAATGGGTCAAGAAATGGATCAGAAAATCTTCAGGGAATTTATCTCTGTTTCTAGTACTTCATAATGACAAAACTTTCCTTGGCTAATGAGCATGTTTAGATGAATTCTAATATAGAGAGAAAACAGCGGAATAGAATTGGCCATTGGACAACTAAGAGAGTTGATACAGCTGTAAGGATTAAATTCACAATATTGGAAATAGCGTGAGTGGAGTAAAAGTGATAGATAGTCTCTAGTTTGTTAAGCCAAATACACACTATTTTCTTATTGAATGGGTGTAAATCACATGAATTTTGACCATTATTTGGATGAATTCAGACTTAAAATAATGAAGCTTCCTACAACACTGGAAGGTCTTGAGCTTGTTTATATATGTACCAATTTTGTCTCTCTTTTCTGTAATTCCGTATTTCTGTAGAGAATTTTAAAACTCCATTTTAAGTACTAGATTTGTTCTAGTACTATATTTAATCATTTGCTTATTTTCTATATGTTCAATTATTGAAACACTATTTATTGAGTGCTTATTACATAACAGAGGAGCCCTGGTGGCTCAGTGGTTAAAGCGCTTGGCTGCTAACTGAAAGGTTGGTGGTTTGAACCCACCAGTTGCTCCGCGGGAGAAAGATGTAGCAGTTTGCTTCCGTAAAGATTACAGCCTTGGAAATCCTATGGTATAGTTCTACTCTGTCCTGTAGGGTTGCTATGAGTCAGAATCAACTTGATGGCAGTGGGGTTTTTTTTGGATTATGTGACAGACACTGTCTTGCCTACTAATTGAGCTTCCAGTAGTTAAGAAAATGCCTTGAACTGAAGAGACTGGAAATCAGTGAAAATATTTTTTATGTGTAATAAATTATTTATTCAGGTCCTTGAAATCACCATTACAAATCCAAACATGTGCTAGGGTATATGTCACCCTCAAAAAAAAATCAAATTTACTAACCTGTCTCTATTGCATATGAAGATGGCAGCCTTTTGGTGGTCCTTAAGAAGTTTTTACTCCATACTACTACTTCTGAAAATTATGGGTTTTATTATTTTACCTTGAGAAATCTATACTCTGTCTTCCAGGGTAAGCGCTAGGCTTATGTTAGTGAGAAAATATATTAGAATTAATCTCATCCTATTTCTATTTTTACACCTTTGTAAAGGGGGAAAAAAAATCATCCTTAAATATAACCTAAATTACATTTGGTGACTTTTCTTTATAGTTCCTTCCCCTTAATTCTTTAAATGCCAGCTCCAGTGACACTTTCTCTGTGAAACTTTCCTGAGAAAAGAGTTAAGAGTTAAGAGCAAGAGTTACGTATATGATAGCAAGGTATTTAGATTTCAATTACCCCCATTATCACTCTCCCTTATAATCTATTCTTACCATTCATTTTTTCTGTATCCTTTCTACTAAAGGTTCCACTCTTGGAGGGGAGGTACTCTCTATTATCATCTCTGCAGTCTGGTCACTTAGCACAATATCTGAGACATAACAGATGCTCAGCAGGTATTTCTTGAATTTATTCAATCCTCCCGTAATTAATGTTTAAATTCTCTTATCTTACATTTTTAGAAACCTCTGCCTGTCCTTTGATAGGAAAACACAGGCAAAGGTCTTGAGCTTCTTTATATATGTACCGATTTTGTCTCTTTTTTCTATAATTCCATATTTCTGCAGAGAATTTTAGAACCCCATTTTTAAGACTTAAGTTGAAAGTTTAGGTTCAGAATGAGAATGGAAATTGGTAGAGATTAAGTAGCTTCTATTCTCTTTTTACTTCTTGCTTTCTATTTTTTCATGAAGTCATCACTAAGGATCAAATTTAAGTATCCTTATGTTTGATATTAGATCCCTGAATCACACGTTTACTAATCTTTTTGGTGTACTTTCATGACTTCTGTCTGTGTCTGTGTCTGTGTGTGTGTGTGTGTGTGTGTGTGTGTGTGTGTGTGCGCGCGCGCGCGCGCGCGCACACTGGCCACTCGCTGATATTCTGAAGCACTGTCTTTACTGTGGATCCCAGTCTCTTATTATTGATCCTTCTCCTGATAATGGCTTCAAGGAATTTGAAGACTACTTTTTGAGGGTTAGGGAAAATCATCTTATTCGGAAGGAATTAGAGAAAATAACTTATACTTTTGTTAGCAGTTTTATTTTTCTTTTTCTTGAATTAACAGTCTGCAATAGCATGATCAGATAATACATATTTTTCCACCATCTAAGTTGCAAATAAGGAGCGCTGGTGGCACAGTGGTTAAGTGCTCGGCTGCTAACCAAAAGGTTGGCGGTTCGAACCCACCAGTTGCTCCACAGGAGAAAGATGTGGCAGTCTGCTTCCATAAACATTTACAGCCTTGGATACCCTATGGGGCAGTTCTACTCTGCCCTAGAAGGTCGCTATGAGTAAGAATTGACTCGACAGTAATGGGTTTTTATGAAATTTCAAGTATACTATAATAAACAGCATAAATAAATATCTTGTTCTTTGATTTCTCAAATTGTTAGGTGTGAGAGCAAAGCCAAGAGTTAACACAGTTTGGTTTAGTGCCTGGTTTATCACCGGATTATGTACTATGGGAAAAAGGTGATGGACACAGATGACTAAGACAGTCCCCGGCTCAATGATTCTCATGGAAGATTTAAAAATATACTGATAACCTTAATACAAGACAATATTTGTTGCAAGTTTTACATCAAGTCTCAAATATCTGTCATTAGAGACTGAGATATTAAGAAGATAAGGAAGGCTTTTCTAATGAAATGATGTTTAAGATGGATTTTGAGCAAATAGGAAAGGCATGAGAGGAGAGTGTATTCATTTTGTCAAAAATCTAACACGTTGTAGGGTGATGTGATACGTTAAGATGTGGGGGACAAATTTTATGGAGCAATGAACATCTGGTTGAGAAATTGACACTGTGGTAAACAATGTGGAGCCATTAAAGCTTTCTGAGGCGTGGCATGATTCTATCCAATATGTGGTTTGTTTTTTTTTAAACATATACAGATTTTCATAGCCTTTTGTGCGGTCTGTGTCAAAAAAAAAAATCAAAAGCTATGTTAAACTACGTTTGCCAATTTTGTATCTTATAGACAAATTTTGTTCAGACCAGAAAGATTTTTCAACCATCTGAGGTAAGTAGCAAATTTAAAATGGTGATTTAAATTTAAAAACTCAAGATTATTATATCTTCTAAAAACTCTAAATTCTGGTCTCATATCAGCATGACAATTTTCTAGAGTACTGGTTGCCTTCTTTCCATGGGACCTCTGTGCATGATTCACCCCACCCCCTGCAAGATCTGTTTGTTTCCTGCCTGATTCTGGACACATTAGAGTTTCTGACCTTTGTTTTAAACTAATAATCAGAAAAGAAGACATAGCCAGAGTTTCAAACTTACATACCATCATTCTGGAAAACAGTAGTGAAGATAAAGCTCTAGAAGTATATTCATTGGCTATATAGAACATAATTTCATTATTTTTTTCTCAATCATCTTATTTTATTTCTTGCATTATTAATAATCATACCATCAAACTGGAGATTAGTCTAAAGTGATTATTCTTACTAATATTTTTAAAATGTATTTTACTATTCAAGGAGTGGTCAAAAAGCAAGACAAAAAAGGAGAATAGAAAATGAATTCAAAAAAGGAGAAAAGAAAAGAAATAGTAGAAATGTTTTTTACTTTATAGATGGAAGAGTAGGAGTACAAGGGGAAGGGAGAAACAATATTTTTTCTTAAGAGAGAGATATGAATTTTAACGTCAATAATTATAGTAGCTCTGCTTGTGAATTTTCAGTATTATGTGGTTGTTCTCTATTTTATATCTTAATATTTTTAATACCCTTCATATTTTATGTAGGTATGTTTTACACCAGTGATAAAATATTTTCTCTAAAGTATTGGAAACACTGGTGGCGTAGTGGTTAAGAGCTAAGTCTGCTAACCAAAAGGTCGACAGTTTGAATACACCAGTCACTCCTTGGAAACCGTATGGGAAAGTTCTACTCTATCCTATACGGTCGCTATGAGTGGGAATCGACTAGACGGCAGTGGCTTAAGTAAGTGCTTTAGAATCATCTGAAATAAAAATGATATAAAGGTAAAAGCTTTCAGTCAGTTGTTATATCTTTGATTCATTATATATGTAACAGTGCTGATGTCATATAGACTAATTAGTACATCATAGAGAAGAAACTCTACCCGTAGCCTCATTGAAACTCTCTCAATTACCTTAACTTGCCAACGTCTTTTTAACTTTTAGATATTTGCATATGTTGTTGCTTTGATCTGGAAGTCTCCTCCTTCTTCCCCTTGCTAGGCTAATCCTCACTCAGGCCACAGTTAGCTATTAAGATCTCCATGCATATTTTCTTGATCCCCTCACCCAAGACTGGATTAGGAACAAGATATGTGATATTTTTTGGTTTGTGGAGACTTCTAACACATACCATCCCATATGATCTTCATTACCTTCATTCATGGAAACCCTAATAGTATAGTGGTTAAGAGTTTGACTGCTAACCAGAAGGTCAGCAGTCCGAATCCACCACGCACTCCTTGGAAACCCTATGGGGCAGTTCTACTCTGTCTTATAGGGTCAGTATGAGTCGGATTCGACTCCACGGCAACGGGTTTGTTTTTTTTTTTACCTTCATTCATTAACCTTATGAGTCACCCGCAATATGCCAGGCACTGAAACAGAAGAGTGGCTTCCAGAATTCTTGTTCTCAGGAAGCTCATCACTCAGAGGGGTGAGAGGTTAGTCTGTATAACTCAATGTGATGAGTACAAAAACTGAGGTTTGCACAAATAGAAACAGAATAAATATGTGGGTGTAGTTGGGCAGTGGTGGCCAGGAATGGTGAGGAGAGAAACAGGGAAATGAGTTTGCTGAGTGTTGAAGGCCGCAGGGAGTTTTCCAGGGAAAGAAGGGAATGGAGGAGATTTGGAGGGGAAACAAGTAACTCCGTGACTCCGTGAAACAAAATGTTTTTTGTTTGCTTTGTTTTTTTTATTAATTGAGATCCTGCTACAGTTTAGGTTAAACGTACAGCAATCTGTAAGGATTATTTCATTTACTTTACAAAATGACTCAGTAAGATTGGTACTTTTACCAGGCAAAAGTTCTAAGGCACAGAAAAGTTAACATGCCTTACCCAAGGTATTCTTAGCTTTGTCATTTTCTGCAATCTGTTCTCTAAATTATGATGTTACAGTATTACAATTGTCCTTTTCAAATATCTGGGTGACTGTAGGGTTGCTATGAGTCGGAATCGACTTGACGGCAACTTCTTTTTTTGTTGTTGTTGTTTTTGGTGGAGTGATGTCAAGTTTTCTTCTAAAATTCAAAAACAGAACTATCAAAAAATTGTCCTTTTTTCCTTGCTTGTTTTATATATTTGTTAGGTATTTAGTGCTTGTTTTGCATGTTAAATTTTTATATTTTCAGTATATCCATAGCTTAAGAAAGCCTGACTTAGATGGGACGAAAGAAGAAAAAGTATCAAAGCTGAATTTTATGAAATGGCACGCAAATATTGCTGAAAGATGAGAAAAACTCCCTTACCTGAATCTGTTTATTTGAAGTACTAAAATCAAAATATCATAAAAGTCCCACTTTCTAGTATCTACTTTAACACAACCTTCCCTTTGTAATAATCTGATAAACAAATGACATGTTAGACTAGTGTTCTTCCTATTATAACAATTTAGTAGGGTATAATGGAGCAAATTTATTCTGTTTCCGAGTTGTATTTTTTGGAAATGTTCTTAAACCAGACCTGATAAATACATACAACTTCAGGGGGGCTCTTACAATGCATCTTAAGAAATATGCTTTAGAGATATGATTTCAACATAAATCAGTAGAGAAAAATTTGCAGTTTACATTTCTTTTATTATAAAAGAAAGCAATAGTTACGTCTTTTGAAAGTTAGCATTTTTAACAAAATTGTCAACTCAAATTTTTCTTAAAATTGGAGGCATTTGGTCAACATTATAAAGCTATAATCCGTGAAAAGTTAATTAAAGAACTATTGAATGCTCCCATTGGTGACTGAGGGGAAATTTGAAAACATAAATCACGGAATCTGTTCATTTAGCTTTTGCTCTATGGTCAAAGGAAAAGATCTGTTAAAGAATATATATTTAAAAATTAATTGCTTTTCGAGTTATGTAAACATCAAAGTATCACAAAAAACTAGAAAGAAAGTGAATTCATTGTCAGAATTCTGGCTTCTAATACTGACTGGTCAAGACTCAATGAGTCATCTAACCCACTGGAATACAGTGTCTTCATCTGTAACTTAAATGATTTACTTGTTGATTTATAAGATCCAGTTCAGTTCTAATAGTTTTATTTTATAATTAATTTAATAATCCATATATAATGAATGCAGTGGTAGAGAAGGGTGAGAATATTGTACGCAAATATTTAAAAATGTAAATGACTGGCTAGTTAAAATTTTAAATGACTGGCTGAGGTCAGCTGCCACTCTTCCATAGGCTGTCTATAAGTTTCAGTGAGTTTTTACTTCTAAAATGGTGGGCATATATAGATGCAATCATTCTGTCAGTATAATTACATACAGATTCATATATATTGTTAAAAGTGGGGTAGGATATGATTGAGAACACTTCTTTTCTTATTCATGCATGATTTCCTAGAAGAGGGGTAATGATACCAAGTTTGATAAGCACCTACAATCTACCATGACATTTTTGAAAATTTTGTCCATGTAAACTTTATAATAGCCCTGTGATGCAGATATCATTATTCCTATTTCACTATTGAGGAAACTGAGACTCATTGTTCAAGTTACAAAACAGCTTGGTGGAGAAAGGCTGCAAGCCATGATTGACTCTGAAGTTCTTTTTCTCTTCACTACACTGTGCTGTCTCCCAGCAGAAGTGTAGGTGATCCCTGAGCCCCTTTTTGCTATTTGAAGAAATGTCCCTGTCCATGAAAATCACGACATGGTGTTGGTTGTAAACAGAGTGGGTAAAACAGTTAAGTACGTTGGATAAAAGGAATTATGGGGAGCCGAGAGACTAGATAGGATAATTTTGGTTGATAATTAAGATAGGAAACTAATGGGTAGACCTGTACAGGATGCTTATCTGATGTTTAGGAGTCCCTGGGTGGTGGAGTCGGTTAAGCACTTGACTACTCTCTGAAAGGTTGATGATTCGAACCCACCCAGAGGCCTGGCATTTTGCTTCTGAAAGTTCACTGCCTTGAAAGCCCTACAGAGCAGTTCCACTCTGCACACATGGGGTCCCCACGAGTCAAGATTGACTCAACAGCGACCAACAACAACAGCTAATTGAAAGTTTGGCAGTTCAAGACCATCCAGAGGCTCCTCGGTAGAAAAGCCTGGCGATAGGTTTCTGAAAAGTCACAGGCCTGACAGCCCTGTGCAGCAGTTCTGCTCTGCACACGTGGAGTCACCATTAGCTGGAATTGACGCAACAGCAACTGGTTTGGGTTTTAGTTTTATCAGATGTTTGCATCATAGAATGAGAGGCTTCTGAGACTTCTAAGACAGTGTGGCAGTTGAGGGTGATGAAGGAAGAACAGGTTGTACAGATCAAGTCAGATGAGATGCCATTTAGTAGATATGAAAGATAAGGATTAAAGAATTTGTCAAGGATTTGGCAAAGTAAAAGCAGCAGCTGGGCTAATTTGGGGGTAGACGAGATGCTGTCCTTGGGTGATGCAAAAGGTTAATGCACTCAGCTGCTAACCAAAACGTTGTAGGTTCAAGTCTACCCAGAGGCACCTAGAAAGAAAGGCCTGGCAGTCTGCTTCTGAAAAATCAGCCATTGACGATCCTATGGAGCACAATTGCATTCTGACACAGATGGGAATACCATGAGTTGGAATCAACTTGATGGCAACTGGAACTGGTAAATGAGATGCCAGTTTTTTGATCTGGATAGGTAGGATTTAATTTTTTTAAAAATTTTCATTAACTAATGAAATGAAATAATATGTAAGAAAGTGCTCACAAAAAGTTAAAAGGCAGATAGGGATCGTTTCACATAATCTTATGAATGATAATTTTTTAATGGAGGCAAATGATCTGGAGGCTCTAGAAATTCAAAGACTGATAGTTCCTCCCTCTTTACTGCTTATTATAACATCCCACAAACTAGAAACATTGAATTCACATTAATCAACGTAATTCTTTATATCAATATGATAATAAAATATTGCATAAAAATAATCTAAATTATAATGCCATACTCTTTATTTAATGTTCCATAGGGTGTATTTTCATATTAATAAACTGAATTACATGTTGGGATCATATGTAAAAGTGATGGTGACTGTCATTTCTGTAATCTGACCTTTTTTAAGTTTCAAAGTCAAAAGTTTATCCGAAATACATTCTAAAATTAGCAGTAAAAAGTGATCTCATGATACTGCTACTAACCCTGATTGTGAAACATTTTACTGTGGGATTTTTCCCTTATGGATTCCACCCATTAAAGATGTTTCTGCTAAAATTTGTAGTGTAACAGTGACTTTGAGAAATACACAGGAAGGAAGGAAATGTTTGGTCAAATTACTGCTTAATTATTCCAAAGCTGGAGTAACTGGCTTTGTTTTGCCTTCTTTTACTGAATAACTTCTGATGCAATCAAACTGAAAAGTCAGGAAATTAACTTTTATGGAAATTGAGTCATGCATAAAATCCATTTCCAATTCTGATACTGTTTATTTAGTAACCAGTAAAACTGAACCGAGTTGTACTATGAATCAAAGGATCATGGCTTCAAATAAGTAATTCTGTTTTCTTCATTACTCTTACACTTGGCTGGCAAAGATTTTCTAGGAAATTTTTGTTTACATACTGTTATTTAAAGTAGAGAGTATTAATGTTTATGCTAATGTGATTTCAGACTTTCTAGCTAGGTTTACTTGCAACAACGTTTTGAAAAAAATTAATAATTTCTTTTTACTGTCTAGTGTTGCACAGTTTTTTTTAAATTTCTCTTGTAGCGGGCTTCAGATAATCTTAATAAGACAGAGGGAAATCTGTAACAATTACATTCAGCTCAGACTTCATATTTTGCAATTAAAACTATGCTATATGTAAATAGAAAAGAATTTATAGTTAGTGTATGTATGTCTTTCACAGATATCTATGTATCTCCCTCTATCTGTCTGTCTATCTGTCTATATCTATCTATATCTCTACAGAGAAAGAACTTTTATGCCAACACAAAGTTACTAAACCGTTTGATGATTATCCTGAGACAGCAGAAAGTGAACATAACATTATCTTTCCAAAATTCACGCCACAGGCTTAATTATGTGGTTTGCCTATGTGGACGTGGTCCCATAATAATTGCTGTTGTCTGTCCATTTTTCTCACTTTGAGGTTGCATATTCACAGCATCTTTCAGCCATATCTTTGGGTAAGAGTGATGGCACAGATTCCACATTGCTCCTGGCTTAGTAATATGTTTATAAAGATGTGGAAACAGTGATCTTTCTGATTCTGGCCTGTGTTGACAAATCATCAACTTAGTTTTGTATACAGTTACAGTGACCCAGTTTTTCCCTGACTATGTCATCATGCCTAGGGTCTTCTGAAAAATAATTGGCTTTATTAGGAAGTGTAGTATTTTTTGTGAGCATCTGAACACATGTACCTAGAAAGTCTGTTCTAGAATGTACAGCATCCGTGTCTAGTGGAAAGAACACACTGGCTTTGGAGTCACATTAACCCAGGAATAAGTTACTCAGCTTTTTAAACTTAGTTTCCATGTCAGTAAAATGTGGATAATAATGCTTTCCTCAGAGATTTGGCACCAAAACAAAATGAAATAATGTATAAGATTTCTAGCACATACTATAAGGAGCCTTGGTGGGACAATGGTTAAGTGCTCAGATGCTAACTGAAAGGTTGGCAGTTCAGACCCACCCAGAGGCTCCCTGGGAGAAAGACCTGCTGACCAGCTCACATAAAGATTACAGCCTAGGAAACCATATGGGGCAGTTCTACTCTGTTCTATAGGATCGCTATGAATCAGAATATACTTGATAGCACACAAAAACAACAACTACAGCATATACTATGCACTCAAGGGGTGTTTTTCTTTCTGCCTTCACATGTTTTCCGTTGTAATCAGATGGTAGAATATTATCACTTCTACCCTGAATTCTATAGTGTTTTACGTGCTTGCATATGAAGGGAGTCATTCCCATCCAAGGAACACTTTATATTATATTGTCCAGTCTAATTGCATGTTGATGATAGAAACCCTCCATGCTAAGTAGAGACATAACCAAACTATGGTGTGATGAGTAAAATATGGGAATAATTTTGTCAATTTAGCAACTACCATAGAAGCTGATTACTTGGATTCTGTTTCATTTTTAGAATACGCCTTCTCCTCACTTATCGACTATCTCAGTATCTGACATTTTGCATTTTTGATGATAGTAAAAAATCTACTGTCTGACAATTTTGCGCATTAATCACATACTTTTGGCAGTAAAGAATGGTAACACTGGCTTTGATGGTTAAGATTATGTGTCACCTTGGCTGGGCCATGATTCTCAGTGGTTTGGCAGTTATGTAATGATGTAGTCATCTTCCATTTTGTGATCAGATGTGATCATCCTCCATTTTCACATAATGCCAATTTTGCATAACGACCTGATGTTTGGAACCTAACCATGTTGATGAGAGGGTGTAGAGTGTCATTGGGACCACTGACGTATAAATTAAAATTATGCATACCAATTTATAGTTGAACAATACTGCAAGTCTCAAAGCATAAACTTCAGAAAATATGATTCCATTTCAGGGTAATGTTAACCCAAGGTGCCACATCACTGAATATCATTTAGAAAAGTTTGTTCATTAGGAGCATTTATTTGACATTAGGGCTGCTCACTCATTGTTTTGTTGTTATTTCAGGAGTCCCCCCACTCCACCCCTTGGATGAAAATTACAGTGACTGGATTGTGCCATTAGTCTATTTATAGGAAATAAAGTTAAATAAATAAACAAAATTAAAGATAAATGTGTACAGTTTGTGAACAAATGCAAAATGACAACCTTCAGGGAGATTATTTGTATGCCGTTTCTACTGGTTTACTCCAAAGATATATTCTCAATGATAGTAAAGTAATAAAAGATTGTTTTCACAGCTGTTTGTCTTTGATTACATATTACTTTGAAGTACTGTAATAAGACAGACTTTGAACCTGGAAAGAGATCAAATAATGAATTGTTCTGCTTTGTGAAGCTTAAGAAGAGATTTTATTTTTGAAACATATAGTGCGACATATTTTTTTCTTCTAAGAGTTAAATAATCGTTGAAAGTACTATGAGATCATTACAGATGTACTAGATTAAAGGGCTTGGGGCCAAGTGGGAGTGATTGTTACCAAAAAATTGGTGCTTTGGTTAAAATGCCAGGTTTTATCATTACCCAATATTTTGTTGGTTCAGTCAGTATTGAGTTAAAGCAGAAACTGATAAAGTTGTTAGAATATATTCTAATATTTATAATACTTATATCTAAAAACATGATAAAACTTAAATTCCTGAATCCCTAGAGATTTATCACAAATTTGCTATCTACTACAGGTTTAGGCAGATTAGATTAAGGAGATTTTGTGAATTAAATTGAATGTTATTATATAAAAGAAAATTAACAAACATCATATATATTTTTTTAATCTAAAATAGCAATTAGACAGACTTAATGGTCTGACTGAGACTGGAGGAACCCTGGAAAGCATGGCCCCTGGATTCTCTATCAGCCCAGAACTAAAACAATTTCTGAGGCCCACTCTTCAGACACGGATTGGACTTTACTGTGGGACATAAAGTGATACTTGTGAGGAGTGTTCTTCTTAGCTCAAGTAGATACAAGAGACTAAATGGCAGCTTCTGTCCGGAGGTGAGATGGGAAGGCAGAGAGGGTTAGGAGCTGGTTGAATGGACATGGGGAATCGAGGGTGGAAAGGAGGAGTGTGCTGTCACAGTATGCGGAGAGCAATTAGAGTCACATAACAATGTATGCATAAATTTTTGTATGGGAAAAAATTTAAAAAAATAGCAATTAGAATATATGGCAAAAAATTCTATTGTAATATTCTTAATATGTTTTCACAACAGGGGTGAATTACCCAGTAAGCGAGGTAAGCATAGGCTTACTTGTGCTTACTCACTGATCTGTAGTGAACAATTTCATGAAACCCATGTGAAATTTG